ATTTGTGTTAGGAAATTGCTGAGAAAAAATTGGATTTTTTTATCCCAACAAAAAAAAAAGTTAGACAAAAATCAAGAGCTCGTATTCTGAAAATACATTTTATTTTACAAATATAATTTTAAAACGTATTACGTTCTTTTAAAAGTTTAATTAAAAAAAGGTATTCTGAAAATACAGGCTTTTGAGTTTTGTCCAATTTTCTTTTATTTTTTTTTTATTTTTGTCCACTTGATTTTTTTTTTGTTTTTTTATATATATATAAATAAATTATCCAAAAAAATTGAGTGAGGCAAATAATATTTCTTGAAAAGATTTTATTTTTTCAATTTCAATGCGGTAATAATAAAACAAAAAATATCTCATACAACTCCAAACTAGATTTTTTCATTTTTATTTATTTATTTATTTATTTATTTATTTTTTAACAATTTCCAAGCTTACCTTTTAGAGGGCATTTCCATTTTAGTGGGTGTCATAATAGAGAAAGACAATGGGAATAACAGATACATGATAAATAGGGTAATGTTGTGTTGTTGTATGGTCTCAAAATAAAGAGATATTTTTTTTTTTTTCTATTAATTGCTTACAGATTTCCTAATAAAGATCCTTCCTATTTATTTATTTTATTTCATTTTATTTATTTATTTATTTTCCCTGATATATGCTTATGTATTTTTAGCCATCCAAGTGATAAAATCTTGGAAAAAAAAAAAGCTCCATTCCATTTATTCCATTTTGGGTGAAAATTAATCCAAAAAGCATCTAATCTGCAGCTAAAGTTTCCTCATATATTTCAAATACCCCTTCTTCTTGATTTTGACTATTTATGTATATATACTCTTCCTTTTTTCCTTAACCAAAACAAAGAAAAAAAAAAACATATCCTTAAAAGCTAGGGTTCATAGGTTTGTAGAGCTTTAGTACATGTTTAAATTGAGGTTAATTATTAACAGTCTAAGCTTTTATTTGGCATGAAATTATTCCACTAGGGTTTATTGGGGTTCCTCATCTGGGCCTTTATAACTCCTCAATTGAGTTGTAAAGGGCTTTTAATCTCTTGAATCTTTTTTTTTTTAAAAAATAAAAAATAAAAATTGAGGTGAGACTGGATTTGTGCTGTATTATTCTAAATGTTAACTTTTTTTTTAATGTTATATGTTTATTTTTATTTTTTTGACACAAATTTTGTTGATGAAACTGTATATGTAGAGAAAATTATCAAGAAATGGTGAGAGGGAAAGTCCAGATGAAGCGGATCGAAAACGCGTCGAGTCGGCAGGTGACCTTCTCAAAGAGGAGAAATGGGCTGTTGAAGAAGGCCTATGAGCTCTCAGTGCTTTGTGATGCTGAAGTTGCTTTGATCATTTTCTCTCAAAAGGGGAGACTTTATGAGTTTGCAAGCTCCAAGTAAGTTCCCTAATTACTAATTATTAATAGTTACATAATATTTTGTATATATCTTCAAAATCTTGAAAGCCCATATAGTTACTTTAATTTTTTATTTTTTTTGTTTACTTTTTATTAAGTTCCACTTAATTAGCTGATCTCTAGTGTACCTTGGTATTGTGCTATGTGCTTGCTTTTGTACTTGTATATAGTGCTTGATGAGGGCAAATTAATATCAATATTGTTCTTATGTGTATGTAATGTACTAATTTAATGTTATTATTGTCATTAGTATTATTGGTTATTTTTTTGTGTAGAATTAATTGAATAACAATGTTAATTGTGGTAGAACCCAATATTTTCGTATAAATTTATAATGTTTCGAAAAATTTCATCCTACCTTGTGAACAAACTTTTAATCGTTGGATCAACACACATCACACAGGTGTGTGTGTGATTCAACCATTGTTTTAAATAGCTCGCTATTAGCTCGTTATTGCTCGCTATGTAGTTTTTTTTTCGAAAAAACGCGACGTAGCCTGATATATTTAGCATTCTTCCCGAAAAGCTTATGCGAAATATTGAAACGACACGCTTTCTCACACTATTTTCCGCTATTTCGCGCTATTGTGTGCTACATTGCGCTATATTTTTACAACGACATTTGAACAATAAAATATTCAAAACTCGTTTTTTTTTTAAGGATTAGAGTCATATTTACAATAGACAATTAAAAAACTAAAAGTTTTTATAATGATTTCAAATTAAAAGTTTGAAAATGCAAAGTTTTAAGTTGAATAGTGCAATATTTTTTGTTATATCATTTCATTTTTCGATATTTGACATTTAAATAAGGAATAAAATGTTCCTATCCAATTGTTAGAATTAAATTGTAGTTTAATAAAAATAATAATATTAAAATGCATATACTTAAAATTATACTATGACTTACCTCATTATATTTTCGTTGTATTTTTTACTTTTTAGTATATTCGATTTATTATTAAATATTTATATTTTGATGATATTTACATTAAACATTTGTGAGAATTAATCCTTGAATGTTATTTTTGAAGTCATTCAAATATTATGATAATTTTTGTAATCAATCATCTATTTTTATTATATGCAAATATACTTGTAATATTTCTATAAAAAAAAATATAGACCCAAATAGTTTACGCAACACGCAACGCTATTTACGCTACGCGTTTTAATACACTGGATTCAACAGATAAAAATTCGGGTGGTATAATCGCACTTGTCACAAGACTCTTGCTAATAGGAGATGTAATTATTATGTCTAATAAGTTGTGCTCTTTTTTTTTCTTTCTTTTTTTTNTTTTTTTTTTTTCTTGTAAATCAATAAATTAAAGACATGGGCAAATTCACCACTAATTTCATTGCATGTTATTTGACACTTAAATATACTGTCTATACATAAATGTAGTCAATTAATGAGAACCTAAGAACATTTATAAATGTAGTCAAATAAATTGTGGGTCGTGTCGACATATTGGTAGGAACCTTAACATTGTCGCCCATATTCTAGCTAATAGGGCGTTGTCGTCTGCAGGATCTTTCTTTTGGAATGACAGTCTCCCGTCTTTTTTATCTCTTTCTTTTGATAATATTCGAACTCCATGTATCTAACGAATGCTA